AATTAGCTGCTCTTTCTCTCTCCCTCTCCTTTTGGCCTCTGGAAATCCTTGGAGTTTTTCCTTTCTTATGCCGCCGCCAACCCTTAATTAATGGCTGCCTCCCCCTTGCCCCTCCCCCTTGCCCCTGCCCCTGCCTTGCCTTGAGTTTAGCAACTATTTTGTCTCATTTTCTGCCTGACTTAAGCGCTTAATAGTTTTCAGTTTTTGTCTATAGTTTTGCCCCCCCCCTCAGGCCCCTTTCCCTCCGTTCTTTTCCTTGCACTTTTCTTCCTCAAGTCCAGAACTTTTTCTTATTGGAAAGAGACTCCTCTTCGCTTCGCTTCGCTTCGGTTCGAAACTTTGCTCTGGTCCTGTGGCCTGCGTCCTGCGTCCTGGTGCTTCTGTTTTTTGTGGTCGCCTGGCAGTTAATCAATTTTTTGTCCTTTTTTTGTGTGCAAAGTTTATATTCTACAAGTAGAAATATGTTACCCAGAAGCAAGGAAGCGGCAGGGATGCGGCAAGGATGCGGCATGGGGGCAAGTCTTTTTGTGGTTTGGGTGCAAGCGAAAACTTTTAATTAAGAAAACCTTGAAGTGATTTATTGATTAGAGAGACCTCTCCCCTGCCTCCCCTCCCCAATGCCTTCTCTCTGGTCAAACTTTCTGTGCCCCACACCCACTGCCAGTCCCGCCTCCTCCTCAAAGAGTGAGAGAGGGACAGAGAGAGAGTCGTCGTCGTCGTCGTCGTCGTCGTCGTCTCCGTGGCCAGCCAATGGGATTCCGCTCGACTTGCAGGTTAATCAGCGACGACGAGCGCTCGTGTGGCAGCAGATAAGTGCCTCAATCGTTGGAGGAGACAAAGCGGCAGGCGGCAAGCGGCAAGCGGCAGGCAGCCAAGCGTTGAGCTCCCAGCGCGGCGAAATCAAGTGGAGACTAGGAGGAAAATCTAGCCGATTCGCTGCTTATGGAAGCGCAAAGAAATACACCCACTGCCCTCCCCCCCTCCCACCACAGCAGGCCCCACATTGAGTCTGTGCAGCGTGGCAGAACGACAGACCCTCCCACTCTTTCACGAAAGTTCCACTCGCATTATAATTATTATAGTGCCGTGCCGCTTTCGGCCTGGCCAATACGCAGCAAGAAATAAACTCGAGGAACAAAATGGTGAGCACTTCCGCTGCCCGGCCCCAGGCCCCCGCCAGCAGGCAGCAGCTCTCTGCCGTTCAGTCAACCTTCAAGTTGGTCTGTGCCGCACATTTCACGCCCTACCCCCCTGTCCACCTCCACCCCCTATCATTGTTTTAATTGTAAACAATATAAAGATAATCAGAGGCTCGAAATCAGTGCGTGGACGAGGAGCTCTGGAGACCTCAGAGCACGTCCACCTCCACCTCCACCTCCACACAGAAGCGGAAGTGTCGCCGCGGCACAACAAAAAAGCGGAACTACTCTTGAAAGATTTGCGTTGGACAGGCACTGCCACACCATGGGCCACCTTTACCTGTCGCTGTCGCTGTCGCTGTTGCTGCCTCTGGTTCTGGGTCTGGGTCTCTCCCTTGTCGGCTTTCTGTGGCTTTTCATCAGCTTCGGGGGCTGTGGCAACTTCTCTGCCACTGCCGCTGCCACTGAGCCTGTCATGAGTTGTTGCCCCTCGCATATTATTAACGTTTTAATACGTATTTATGCTGCCCCTGCCCCCATCCCATGCCCTGTTTGCTTTTGGTGCGTGCTCTATGGGAAGAGAGGGTGTGTGTCTCCGCTCGACCACTTGTTGGCCAAAGCACGTGGGAAACTGTGCAAAGTGGCCATCGATGCAGCGCCGATTGTCACTACAACCGAAGGGGAGACAGACATTAAGCTTCCGCCTTGGAAAATTCCAAATGGAAATTGCATTATGGCGTGGCGTGGCCTGGCCTGGCCTGGCCTGGCCTGGCCTGGCGATGCTTGAATGATTTTGCACCCAAAAACGAGAGATTCGAGATCAGAGACTACTACTACATCCCCAGACAAGTGCTCGTGCATCCGGTCTGGGCTCTGGGCTCTGGGCTGTGGCTTGCTTTATGTAAGTCACCAGCGAATGGTTGTATCTCGCTCTCTCTCTCTGTCTGGCTATAGATACTAAATACTAGATAGAGAGACACATTAGATGGCAGCGCACAGATGCTCGTACTCGGACTTGTCGTCCATGCATGCCGCGCACCAAATACGAAATAAATTACACTTGATTATCTTGTTGCGCGCCGCCTGGCTGCTGCTCGACTCTGATGCTCTGATGCTGCCACTGCAATACCATTTTGCCACCCAATGTCCGAAATAAAGATTAAATGTCACACGGGTACTCATAAACCCGAAGATCAGATGCCCTCTAGGCGGCCCTGGCAGGCGATTGGATCTTCAAAATATCTTCAGCTTGTTCTTTGGTTAGTTTTCTATCAAGAAATGCCTTGAGACCTTTGGAAATGCCGCTCAGTTCTGGAAAGCCTCTGCTGCCAGAGATCTGTGGATCTAATGGATACTTTTCTGCCGTAGTTCCAGGGATCTATTTTCTGCCTTAGTTTCGAGGATATATTCGACCCTCTACTGCCTTAGTTTTAAGGATATATTGGACCCTCTTCTGCCTTAGTTTCGAGGATATATTGGACCCTCTTCTGCCTTAGTTCGATGCCTCTAGTGGACCTTCTTCCGCCTTAGTTCTCTTCCTCGAATGGCCCCTCTTCTGCCTTAGTTATAGGCATCTAGTGGACCCTCTTCTGCCTTAGTTCCAAGGATCTATTGGACCCTCTTCTGCCTTAATTCTCTGCCTCTAATGGGCCCCCTTCTGCCTTAGTTCTCTGCCTCTCATAGACCCCCTTCTGCCTTAGTTCTCTGCCTCTTATAGACCCCCTTCTGCCTTAGTTCCAAGGATCTATTGCCTCCTCTTCTACCTCCATTGGCCCATCCATTCTGTACAGAGAGAGACCCTGCTACCCTCGTTTCGATGACAAGTTCTACAAGTCATTTAGCGACTTAATTTCCAGCAGCAGCGCCGCGACTCATTCGTTGGGGATTGGGGGCTGAGTTAGAGATCACTAGAGGGTGGGGGGGTTTGGGGGCTTGGGGTATGGGGTTTGCTCAGCGAGGCGTGCAACTTTGTCCGGCGCTCAAGTGCCATTGGCCGGCGGTCGAGCAAGAGCCACGGCTACAGGGCTCTATAGTATATGGTGCTTTATTTAATTCCAGATAATCATTGCGACTTGTTGCTCTCCGATGTCCGATGTCTCTGTCTGCTGTGTGTCTGTTCTGTGCCTGTTCTGTGGTGCTGCTGTTCTGCCGCTGCCGCTGCTGTTCTGTTGCTTTTTAGGGTAATTTTCTTTTTGCAATTGAATGAATTTGCGTTTCAGCGGTGCCGCTCAGGCCTCATTGTCCGGCTCTTCAATAAGAGATTATTTGAGGACGGCTGTTAGATGTACATTTAGATGGTTGCGCTACGTTGCATGGTAGAAATTTTCACTTCCGTTCTTAAAACGATTTCCGGCTGGGCCATCGGGCCATCGAGCATCGAGCCATCGAGCCATCAGAGGAGTTGTCGGTGCATGGCGAAACGAAGGTCCGAAAAACTTTCTACATTAGAAATTTCACCTGCCTGGTGGCTGGGTCTGGGTTTGGGTCCGGGTCTGATGCTGGGGCTTCTCGTACGAGGCATGTATGTTGCCTGGTAAACTTTCTTAGCCAAGAACAAAGCAAACAACTTGGCGGGGGAGTGGAAGTGGGTGTGGCAGTGGCAGCTCCATTGTGCGCCTAAAAGTCAACTTTAATTTTGCATTTTTCATAAGTAGCCTTAGGTGCACTTACTTATGCGGAGTACAAGAGGAGGAGGTGGAGGAGGAAAAGCAGGGGAGGGTGGAGGAGCAGCAGCAGTCCGAGTGAAAAGAAAACAACAAAACACAAACCAAAGGGGGCTTGGAGGAGGGGTTGGGCACATGAGGCATGGCTAAAGGACTCAAGCAGCCAGAAGAGGCCAAAGTTCTCACTGGAAATGTGCGGGAAGGCGGGTGTGTGTGTGTGTGTGTGCGCACAAAAGTTGGTAATAAAAAGTCAAAACAGCAGCAGTAAAAAAAGGGCCAGCCAAAGCAGCAACAAACTCATTTACACGGCATCGAGCATGGGATAATAACGAGTCCTGCCCGGCCCCTGCTCCTGCCCTGGTAAACCTTAAGACTTGCTTCCTTCTACGAGTACAAGTATTTTGTCGCTTAAGCTGAAAATAATTGCAGCAGCGGCAGCAAGCCTCCTGCTTGTTGCTTCCAGGCGGTGGGGGAGGGGGAGGTGGAGACACACGTAAGTGCGGCACAACGTGGCGGCGGCGGCGTCTGCTGTCAGCAAAAGGATAACACGGCGCATCATTATACACACACACACATACACACACAGAGGACGCCCCCTCCACGCCCCATACACATGCAACTTCAGCAATTTCCGTTTCCGCTGCTGCTGTAGCTGTTGCACTGCCTCCAGCCTCCTGCCTCCTGCCTCCCGCCTCCTTTCTATTTCCATTTCTAACCACCTTCTTCCAACTGTAGGACTGTTGCAAAGGCAAAGAAAATGTGTCTGACGAGGCAGCATTCGGGGCAATGTTGCGTGAAGAGTAGGAGAAAATTGAAACGGACACAGGGCAAGGCAGGGCGGTGCAGGGCGGTGCAGGGCCCCTCTGCCACGTCACTTTTCTTTGCCATTTCATCTTAAGTAGCACACAAATAAACAAAAGCAACGCCAGCAAACAGACTGTAGAGCGGCCCACAAAGGCGCCTCCTCCATATGGCAGCACTTTTCGATTAAGGATAACCCCCCGTCCCGCCTTCCCCCCATCCGTCTAGGTCTCAGTGTGTGTGTGTGTGTGTTGACTTTCTAATTAAAAAATGAAGTCCACTCGAGCACAAAGGCGTTTCATTAGACCAAGAGACTGGACTTTGGCTCAGACTTAAAGCTAAAAAATAAAAAACAGTGAGGCATGCATAGGGGGGCGGGAGGGGCGCGTTTACTTACCAAAATTTAAGCGGCTTTCTCATTGGATAACTTCTCGATATGGTGTAACCTGCAAGCAAAAAGCAGAACAATTGCACCAGAGGCAACACAAGGCTGTGATTAGTAATCGGAACGATTGATGGAAGTAATTTTTTGTATGGCTGTGAACAAGAAATTGTGATAGATCTACTGGGAGCTTTAAGGCTTGGCAAAACCCTCGAGAAAATCCCCAAAAATCTTTGAATTGAACAAAAAATATTCTGCAAAAGTTAAAATTAAAAAAAGACTAAAAAAAATGTGCTAATCTTTCTCCAAAATAAATAGAAAACTGGAAGCCCTATGGCCTGGGGGTTTATCTGTTTCTAATTTTGGTTCAGAAATCGTTAGAGGATTTCTTAAAGTTCTTTTTGGTTTTTTGTTTTTTTTTGGTTATGCTTTTTGAGAGCACCAATACCATTTGCGATATTTTACCCTTAATTTTAACAGTTACAAAGCCAGAGGCGAGTGCGGGCCGCTCATGACAGAGCGGGTACAGCAGTCCAGGGACGACTGGACTCGGCCCCGCCACCAGGTGGCAGAGCCAGAGCCAGAAGCATCATTCCTGGTGCAGATGCAGGTGCGGTTTCAGATTCGGATTCGGATGTTGGCGGCGCATTTCTCGGCATCAAAGGGGGAATTCACACAAAGGTCGTGGGTCAAAGGGGGACAACACAAATCACTGAAGCGCTGCGGTCAACACGGAAGTCGGGGGGTCGAAGGGTCGATGGGTCGAAGGGGCACACTAAAACGCACTTTTCTCTCGGGGCGCAAAAAACAAAATAATTTTCTTCATTTCTGCCTTCATTTACATTTAAGGCACAGCCGCGTGGCATGCCACATGTGTTGCCCAGTGCCCGCCACTAGATGCCGGCGAACACCTAAAGTTATGCTTCACTTTTCACTCTGTTTGGGACTCGGCTTTCGGGTTTCGCTTTTCGTTTAAGTTTTAGTTAATTTTATTTGTCGGTTATTCTTATTTGTTGCATCCACAAGGTTTTGCCAAACAAGGTTTGTTGCCGCAGCGCTTTTCATGTTGCAAGTTTAATTTAGAATTTCGAACATTTTCGTTTGTGTGATTTTTGGTGTTGTTTTTATTTTAAAACTTATTTCTGTGCTTTTTTTCGTTGGATTTTGATTTGGAATTTCTGTTTGAAGCGAAAAAAGATAAAAATTTGATTTTATAAGTGATTAAAACTTGAAAAAATTATTTTAATTAGTTTTACAAAGAAAAAAACTTGAGTAAATATTTTAAATGGCTTTTATTAGGGGAAAAAATAATTAAATAATTTAAATGGATTTAAACAATATTTAAAACTAAATACATAATTTAAAAGGATATTATATATAAAAAAACTTAAATAAAAGAATAATTAATTCATTTTATAAACAGTAAAACTTAAATAAATAGTTTTAATTTAATATTATAAATAACACAATTTAAATAAATAATTTTAATTAATTTAAATAAATATAGAAACTTATTATTATTATTATTTATTATAATTTAAATTGATTTTGAAATAGAATAGAATTTTGAATTGAATTGAAATAGAAAAAGAAAAACGTAAATAAAATATTTATAATTGACTTTATAAATATTACAACTTGAATAAATAATTTAAATAAATTTTATCAATAGAAAAACTTAAATAAAAAGAGGATAAAATGGGAGATGAATCATTTTTATGAAAATTATATATTCAATTAATAAAGATTGCATTTTTTTCTTTTTATGTTAGTTAAAATAATTAAATAAATATTTTTACAAATAACTAAAAATTTTGTAATATTTCTTCATATTTGATTTATTGTTTTTTTTTTTTCATTTGTTTATTGCTCCACTGTTTTCTAACACAGATTTCTCATATTTTTTTAATTTATTTGTAATTTAACTTCACAGTTTCATTGGCTTTGTTTTTTGTTTGTTTTTTGTTGTTGTTTGGGGATCACTTTGTCACTTTGTTTTTGTTAAATATTTTTTTGTAGACACCTAGAGAGCCCTGCAAGTCCTTCCCCAAAATCCTGGGACATACCATCGCTGACTCAAAGGCTAAAAACACGGTGGAACACGGCCAGAACTGACTGCCTGCCGTGTTTTGTTGGCTGTGTGTTGTTCCCTGGCTGAGTGACCAACTGACTAAGGACGAAGGACCTTCTGACTGGCTGGCTGGCTGCTGCTGCTGCTGGCAGTCTGCCGCTACTTCGGTCGCTGCTGCCGCATCTGCTGCTGGCCAAGACGATCAAATGTCTCACAAGAAACGAAGAGCCGAAGCTCTGTGGCACAGTGTGTGTGAAAGTATTTATATAAAATTAGAGGCATGCCTCACTGTCGGTGTGTGTGTGTGTGTGTGTATTCAACTATATAAGTATCCCTGTCTCTCTGTCTGTGTGTGTGTGTGTGTGTGAGTGTACAAGTTGCTGACAAAGTCATAGCGGGCGTCAGAGCGATGCGGCGAATCTGAGGCGGAGGCGTCTCCTCGGGGCGCTTAATAGTAGATAATTTCCTGGCAAGTTTTTACCCCGTCAAAGCCCCCCAAGACGCCGTGGAGGCCAATGCGCAGGCAGGATAATTGCTGGCCAACTTGTCGTATGCGCAATGTTCTGTTTGCCACAGCAAGTGGCGTCTTGTTTTGTGTTTTCTGTATGTGTGTGTGTGTGTGCGGTTGCCACTTTGGTTGGCTAATCGAGCGCCTAACCCCCCCCCCCCACGTACCACAAGACGAGAGAGCAGCAAACCGGCATTCGATGCACTAATTGAGGAGGATCTGTGTGGCAGGAGGCAGCCTTACGATCGATACAGATAGCGATAGCGACAGCGATTGATAATTGATTATATATTTATGTATTATTTTTATTTAATTTATTTATTTTTTTTTTATTTGTATTTAATTTTAAAATTGATTCTTCACTTAGCTTCAGGCTTTATTCGATTATTATTTATTTTTATTTTTATTTGTTTTTTTTTTTGTGGTTTTGTTGTTTGTTTTTTTTAATTGAAATTTAATCTGAATTGTATGGGTTTTATTTAGTAATTTTTACACAAGTCGAGAGACGGCATTCGTCGTCGTCGTCGTCGTCGTCGGCGTCTAGTTGTCGGAGAAAGACAGGCAGAAACGCAAGCAAAAACTTCTGCCAGCGCGCGTGACTAGAAACGTACTGAATTTCGTATTCAAGGATTCGAAAGTAAAGATGTCCTGCCAGAGTGCTGCTTGCTGCCTGCCGATGCTGCTTCTGCTGCTGCTGCAGTCAACGTATGCCCCGTAAGTGTGTGCAACACTTTCTTGCAAGGCAAAGCCATGCCCCAAACCCATCTACTACCTAGCTGCAGCAGCAGCTCCTTTTTCGTATATACTCGCCTCGCCGGAGGAGAGCGAGCGCTCTTTTAAATATATGTATATCCCATATAATAATATATAATATTATTTATATATGTATTAGACGACGCCGGCAGAGGCAGCAGATAATTTCCTACACGCAGCAGGAGCAGAAGCAGAAGCAGGAGCAGAATCAAGGACCAGAAGGAGTCGCAGTAAGTGCAAGTAAGTGTGCGCCTGCTCACAGATACACACACACACACCAATACGAAGAAACCCACCAAGGAAGGAGCCAGCCGAAGTCCGAGTCCGAGTCCGAGTCCCGAGCAGCCACTGAGGGGCGGCTGGGGCACGGCACGAGTCTGGCGTGTGAGTGGATGTGTGGGGGGCAAGGCAAGGCAAGGCGAGACGAGGCGACCGTACGCGCGCGTAGCTTAAGAAGAACTAGAAGAGAAGAAGCAGGCAGGCAGCAAGCGGCAGCAGGCGACAGCCTTCGAGCTTCGAGGCGGAGGCTGCCACACACACACACACACACACACAGGCACTAGCCGAAGCTGCACGAAGCAGGCTGGCGCCGACGTGCTGCTGCTGCTGCTTCTGCCTCTGCTGCCAGGCGTAGGTGTTGTTGCTTATGATAATGTAATGCACACACACACACACGTAGACGCCAGCAGAGAGACGACTACGACGCAATTAGAAAGCAGAGAAACCGAGACCCGAAGCAGCCGAAAAACATCAGCCGAAGGCCGAAGGCAGAAGGCAGAAGGCATTCCCTGCCATTCTTCGTGGGCGGAAACGGAAATGGAAGTGGAAACCAGAACGTCTGAAAGGACGCTCTCTCTCTCTCTGTCTCTGGCACAGACACATGCACATTTCGCTTACCCGTCGGAGGATTCGTAGGATATTCGTAGGATATTCGGAGGAGTCTGAGCCGCAAACACCCGCACGTGGAGTTTTGGCTTTGTCGATTTCGTATAAAAAATATATACAAATAATAATAATACGGTACGTATATAATATTATACTTATAAAAAATGTTGCCAACAATCTTTTTGCTTTGTACTTTTGATTTTTGTAATTTTCATAATTTTTGTTTCTCTTCTTGTTCGGTTTTTGTTTTTTTCTTTTGTTTTTTTTTGTAGTCGTTCCAAACTTAAAAAATGAGCTGATGATTGTGGAGAAAGTAGGCAAAGGCAAAGGCAAACAGGACTCAAACAATAACTGAGAAACGCATAACTGAGAGAAAGTTCTTCGAGAGAGAAAGTTCTTCCTGGAGAGACACTTGAGAAATCGTTCGCTTTTAGCCGGTAAATGTTTTCTTTTTTCTTCCGATCGTTTTTTCGTTTTTCGATTTTCGATATTTCGTTGCCAGGACTTTGGTTTTCGTTTTCGTTTTCGGAGGATCTTGTGATCTACGAAATGGCCTTCTTTTTTGCGGTGGCGGAGAGGGGGAATTTTTTTTCGTTTTGTTTCTGTTAGTTTTAGTTGCTGATTTTGTTTGTTGTTGTTGAGTTTTTTTGAGTGCACGCAAACTTAATACTTAAAAATAAATGAAAACGTAATTGAAAAATCCGAAAATAAAAATTTGTTTGTACGACGACGTTGATGTGAAGCTTTGTACTAAAAATGCGAAAAATTATTTCGCCGCGAATAGGCCGAGAGGACGACCGCTGACGGTGTCGTAGTCGTTGTCGCGCGACTCTCTGCCCCAGCGCCGGCATCCTGGCGGCTGTCCGTGTGTGTGTGGGGGAAGCATACATGTATTGGCAGGCAGGCAGGACATCAGTCCCACACCAGCAACAGCCGGGGAAACAACGCCGAGCAGCAGCAGGCAAAAAAAAATGTTTGCCCGCCGCCGCCGCCGCAGCCGCGAAAAAATACGCGAACGCAGGCAGCGGCAGAGGCAGCGCAAACACACAGCAGGCGGCCCCCACATCCCATGGGGAGGCCCCCTCCCCCCCTTTGCAAATAAAATCCGCGGCAGCGACGCCACCCACACGAAAAAGGGAATGAATGCAAAAACAGGATATGCACACACACACACACACACACGTCCGTGTGGAGGGGAGCATTCGCTCTCTCTCTGTCTCTCTCTCTCTGGCCGTCTCTCTCTGTCCGTCTCTCTTTGAGCTAGAGCTAGTGCGCATTTCAAATACTCTCCAAATACATGGAGGGGCAAGCGTGGGCAGCGCTGCCCCCTGCCAAATGGTGTATGTGAGGCGCCACCCCTGATGATGGATTCAAGGATTCCCAGAGATTTTCAGCGCCTTGGCTCCAAGACAAGTTTCCTCTAAGCGAATGGCAGTCCTCAAAGGATGTGCCGTCGGCATTTGCCAAATGTTTCACGGCGAATGTTTTTTTTTTGGGGTTTTGGTTGGGGAAATGCTCAGATGCTCAGCAAAAACGCTGCAAATTAGAGGTCCAGTGAATGGGCAAGGGAAATGGACCAATTTTGGGCAAAGTTTTCCAAAGCAAGCACGTGGCGGGCTCTTAAGAGATGCTAACAAGTAGTTTTTCCTATCAAATGATCCCCAAAAATGTTTGAAGAGTAAGTGGGGGGTGGATTGTGGATCACGTACAGGACAATTTACTGATGTTATTTATCCATAGCTGTGTTCAGGTTCTCTCTCGTGTCCACAGCTACATCTACAGCTGGCAGTCGTTGATTGAGGCGGCAGTTCGTTGCGATTGCGGTTGCGGTTGAGGATGTGGGCATCTTTGTCTGCGTCGCCGTCGCCGTGTACGTGGAGCGATCCGGGCGATCCGGCTGGGGCGGTTCCCCGGCCAGTTGCAGTGCGTCAAAGTATCTATCGGATTGCGACAGCCTCAATGGGAATGCAAACATGAGAGAGCCCCGATCAAGCACCGGCTTTTCCTGCCAACAAATTAATGCGGTTTTATCCTTTGGGCATCGACATCCTGAAGGGGGTGGGGAGCGGGGCGGTGGATCAGCGGACGACGACGCAGACGCTGGGGGGACTCTGGCCGGTGGGGATCGCAGGAGTCGCTGGAGTCGTTGGCAAGCGTGGATTAATTTGGTTTTATAATTTCTTTGGTCTTTGGGGGGCGGGCGATTAAAACTCAATTTGAGTTGTCAAAAAAATCCATCAAATGATTCTGTGATTAGAATTTTGTTAGCTTTCAATCGAAGGAGTTGTTATTGCAGCACACACGCACGCACACGCACACACACCCCTATATAGGGGTGGGTAGGGGGTTGGGTGGGCATATATTAGATATACAGATATATATATTTGTATATATAATATTTTATTTCATTTATTTTATTGTATATAAATCGTATTTGACACTCGAACGCGTAGAGGCTCAGCCGCCCACGGAGGGCGCGCGGCGGAGGCGGAGGCGTCGGAGGCGGCGAACGCGCGCGCACTTTGCACCCATTTATATATATATATATATAATATATACTATATATATAGAATAGATATATATATATATATAATAAAATGCGGGGAGGCGTTGGCGTTTTTTAGAAAATAAGCAACTCCGAAATTGAACCGAACCGAACTTGCAACAGACTCTGTCTGACGCTGCCGTTACCGTTGCTGCACCGTTGCTGCACCGCTGCTGTACCGTTACTCGGGTCTCAGGCTACTGAGCCGCCGCGTGACGCTTTCCTTTTTTGGGGCTCGAAAGGCGAGATGTCCTGTGCTGTCCTGTGCCGTGCGGTGCGTCGAGCCGAGAATATAAAAAAGCAATGTTCTACTCAAAAGACGTCCAAAAGCCGTATGCCACGTACGGTGCACGGCCGTTTCCCGATGCCGATGCCGATAGATGCGTTGCGTTGCGTTGCGTTGCCTTGCGTTACGTTTCTCGTTCGGCGTTTCATCATTTGCGCCACACGCCACGGCCATGGACAGGGGACACTCCAGTACATGGTTTCAAGCCAGCCTCTGCCTCTGCCAACCGCCAAAAAAAGCTACAGACGCGCAAAATGCAGCGCTCTACGCCCCCCCACTGGCTCTAAGCCCCCTCCTGCCCCCCTCTTTGTATGTAAAAGCAGCTCTGTTTAAGTTTTTTTCCTTTCCCGAAAGTTCGCGCGCGCAAAAATGGTCAAGGGGGGTGGGGGGAGGCATGTATCCCGACGCGTCGTCTATGTACTCCACTCGATGTGCGAATGAAGCGCAGCCAAGGGGCCGGCCAGGGGGTGGGTGGGCGACTGCCCACCAAGAAATAGAAAAAACTTGGGCTCTGACTCTACGCAATGTCTACGCGACCACACTTCCGGCCCAGCGCCCACAGTGGGCGCCCCAACCCCCCGCGCCACACTCTCGCACCCCCCCTTTTCGAGCCGACCAACCAGGCAGAGCGACGACAAAGAAAATGCAGCTGCAGCCGACCTCCAGCCACCCCACCGGCAACCTCACCCAGTGGCTACTCCACAGCATCCTCCGCCTCCTCCTCATCGTCATCATCGTTCTTGCAACGCACAAATCACACAGGGAGTGAGGAGGGAGGGGGGGGCCATTTGCTTGCTGCACGTGCTGGGCCTCCATGAACAGCTGCTGGCTGCAGCCTGGCTCCTGCTCCTGCTCCTCCAGCATCTGCAGCCATGTAAAAGTTACGAGTAAATAAGATGCGAATGCAGCATCCAAGAGGGGCATGGGGCATGGGGGGTGTTGGGTGCAACTTCTAAAAATAAGCCGAAAAGAGACAACACAACCAAAAAGAAGAGAAACAACCGTCGTGCTTCAAGTGCATTGCCTTGCAGCGTTGCATCCTTTCGGGTTGCACTCGCTCTAGCCCTCTCTCTCTCTCTCTCCCTCTCCCTCTCTTTCTCTCTGGCTCAAATGCGCAGCAGCTGCCTCTCTCTTTCTGTTGCTGCACATGAAGTTCTCGGTGGGGCGATGGGGGCTTTGGGGCTTTCCTTTTTTCCCATCTAAACTGTGGCAAGTCGTGGCGTCGACAGCGATGCCCACGTCGCCGTTGACGCTGACGCAGACGCTGCTGCCTTCTGCTGCTATTTACTAGTACATGCCCCCTGCCTGTGCCACACTGCCTCTGCCTCTGCTATCTTCTAGTTGGCAATTGCATTGCCTTGCACTGCATTTCTCCTGTTAGGGGAAACGCTGCTGCTCCTGGTTGTTGCCGCTGCATTGCGCATGTCCTTGTTTACATTATGTGCACGGCCCCCCCCCCCCCCCCCCCCCCCACACATTGCACTTGTGCCTGTGTGTGTGGGAGTAACTGGTACGAGTGTGTGTCTGTGTAGAAAAGCAAAAAGTCTACAACTACAACTAAACCAGGGCCAACACAGCAGGCAGCAGGCAGCAGCAACACCATTCCCGATGCCGATTCCCATTCCGATGCCGTGGCTGCGGCTCTGTTGCATGCTGCTACTGCAGCTGAACGCCGCCGCCCCACAGCAGCGAACAACGACAACGACGATGACCGACACGAAACGAAAGTCTCGCCTTTCGTTGGGGCTTCCTTTGTGATCTTGAAAGGGTCTGGGGATAGAACTACGTGCTGGATCTTGATTTAAAGCTTTTAGGGGACCTCTTGGGTCTTATTTCATAGAGGAAATTCCAAGGAATTCACGGAGAAGATCAAGAAGACAGCATTTATCGTAGAAATACGATCAGATCTCAGGTTTTTGGGAGTATTTTTTGTGTAGATTATATATCTACTGGAAGGCAAGCCTCCTGCGCCAACCCCTGGCTCACCAGCTTCGCTTATGCATCAGCTTTTAAGAAGCACATCTTGTAGAAACTGTACCTATTTCATCTAACTAATAGATCCATACAACTAAGGGCCATATTGGCCTATGTAGGGCTCCGTTGAGGGCTAATATATACATATATACACTATGGGGCAACCCCTGGCTCACTCGCTTTACTTTCTGGAATCAGCGGGCATCAGTCTTCATCTTTCCAATGAGGTTTTCTTGTAGACTGTGTACTATTTTCATCTAAATTATATATGTATCTACTGGAAGGCACGCCTCCTGCGCACTCGCTGGAATTTAGATCATTCATCATCTTTTAAGGAGGGTCTCCTATAGACTGTGTACCTCCTGCTCACTCGCTTTGCACGAGCGTCAACCCCTGGCTCACTTGCTGGCAATAAGATCCTTCATCATCTTTTAAGGGAAGATCTCTGGTAGACATTTGTACATATATATAAGGCAAGTCTCCTGCAAACTTGAGACCCCCCGGCTCACTCGCCTCGCTCACTGGAATCTTTAGGAATCAGTCATCATCTTTTGAGGAGGTTCTCTTATAGACTGTGTAGCTCTTTCATCAAAATTATATACATACACCCCTTAAAAATTCGCTTTTATAGTGCGCCAACCCCTGGCTTACGCTCTTCGCCTGCTCGCGCAGATATGAGTTAAATATCGGACGACGACGAGGACCCAAAACATTTGTATGTAAAAGAGTAATATAATATAGTGACATGTAGAGTATAATAGAGTTTAATATCTTTCCACTCCCTTTTCCCCGAACTGATTGAAGTCTTAAAGATGGTATTATTATTATTATATATAGATGATATTCTACAGCCTTCAGCTTCCTTGTACTTACCCTCAAATAAAAGTACATCGAAAAAATATCACATCACAACATTATTTGTTTTTTTTTTTCTTTTGATATTCCGTTTAGCATATTTTTAAGTTCCTTCTTAATTTTTTCTTCACTTCAGTTCCTTCTCCCTTTTCTGCTTTCCCCTTAATTTTTTTGTTTTAATTTTTTCTAATTTTCTTTGAATTTTTTGTTTGTTTTGATTTTGTTTTTTTTTTTTTTGGTAAATAATTATAAGAAAATTTTGCACTTGTAAAATTTAGCGTTTAATTTTGTTGTTGTTGTTGCTCTTATAGACTTTTTGGTTGATTTTTAAAAATTTTCAGGTAATTTCGTAGTGTGTGTGTGTGTTTATATTTTGTTCTTCCTTCGTTCTCTGTATCCTTTCGATCTTCCAAAACGTGGGGGGCCGAAATTCACAATATATATGTATATATAATCGATATATAATGATAATTAACTGAAGATCTACGTCTGAATTTGTAGAAACTGAGTAGAAAACGGAGTCGAGACGATGTTGGTCGGAACCTTGGGGCCGAGACGTTGTATGCGACGGAATGGTGACGAGACGATAACGAGACGATCGAGAAATCAAATTCAGACGCTTTAATTTTGCTTCAAATCGGAATCGATGCGAAACTGGGAACTTAAACTGGGAGTTGCTTCCTTCCTTCCTCTCCTTTCCTTTCCTTTTCTTTCCTTTAATTAATTTCTTCTGGACTGACGGACTGCTGATGAATGCCTGCTTCTATATAGTATATAATCTATATATATATTTGTTTGGATCTGGAACTCTTGTTTGTTGTTGTTTTAGTTGTTGTTGTTGTTGTTGCTTACAAACGGAAATGTTGCGTCGTGTGTGGCTGCTTTTGTGTCTTATCGAGCGATGATGATTATTATTTCGGTTATCGATTGAGCGACGATCGACAATCGATTGGTGGCAAAAAATGTAACTCTGTCTATTTTTTTTGTATTTGTTGTTGGCTGGCTGGTTTTTGTTGTTGTTGTTGTTGTTGGGAAATGAGGAAAAACTGCGTTACATTCTGCTGCCGGCGTTTACATTGTCTGTTTTTTTTTGGTTTTTAGAGTCGCATTCAAGACGGCATCGATACCATTCGGGGCGGCTCCGCACCGGGCACCCTCAGGGCGTATGGTGGGGCAGGAGAAGGCCTTGGCAGCATTT